GACATCATTTCACCATTCCTCATCAGAAGTAACTCCCCATGGCACCCACCTTTTGGAACATCATTCCCCAAGATTAGACTGGCTCCGTCCTGTTGGGGTTTCATAATGTCTTGAAAACCCGGCTTTATGCTTGATCCTGGGGCCCTGGGTGTGGGTTGTATGGATGATGGAACAGATCGTGCCTAGCTGCTATGTGTTTTTATTTTTGTTTTATATTATGCATTTTATGTTTTTATTTGTTTTATTGTAATCCACCCAGAGTCACGTAAAAGTGAGATGGGTGCCTATATAAATAGCATAAATAAATAAATGTGTCCTGAGGGCATAAGAAGAACTTGCCATGTGACATCCAGAGATCTGTACTGAGTACCCTCATACTTTTTAAAATCTGGAGTTGACATGTTACTCCAACAGCCCTGAAAGACTTTGAGGTTAAAGCTTTAGCCCAACTGCTGTATAGTTCTCAGATCTGAACTGACCTCAGTTTTACAAAGCCGGAAAACCATCATCCCTGGTGATGCCGAGAAGAAAGAATTGCTAGAGGAATTCTGAGTGAATGCCTCTAGGCTGCCTTGCCAGGACCAGCATGCATGCCCAATGCAGCAGTAAGTTTTGGCAGTTGTGCTTTGACCAATTATTGGCTTGAATTAAACACATTAACCAGTGGCTTAGCATCTTGGACAATTTCCAGTCTAACTGGCACAGAAGGGTAGAATTCAGTGGCTTCACTTGGATTTTCTTTTAATGCCTCATTATCTATGGAGTTTGAAAAAGCGAAACAAATTATTAAGCAAAGAATTTTAGATGATGCACCAGCAGGTTCTAGTTAAATTACCAGAAACCACTTACCCTGGAGGAGTTTTAAACACTTCCCAAGCAGCCAAGTATCTTACTCATCTAATCCCCTTGAAGCAGCATGGAACCCTTATGCTGGCTTGCCTTACTATTTTAACATTAGAGGACACAGAAGATAAATTTCATAATATCCTTAAGGGAGACTGGATCCGCCTTGTGGCCTGAATTGCAGAGTCTGACTTGTACGGCTCATCACATTCCTCTGTGTGCTCTACAGGTAACAGCACTGATGAAAACTATGAAAACAGGACAAGCGAAGTACACCAGCAGAAGCCTCAGCACTATATTTTGGATAAATGCCAAAAATTGTCTATTTCTGCGGACTTTCTCTTTCTACTTGCACAATACTAAGGCCCAGATGGAACTGAAGCCCCTATCCTCTGTGACAGTGACCCTGTCTCTACTGGGCTGGATCCCAGTTAGCCATTCTGCAAAACCTGAGATATTCCTCGAGCTTTGGTGAATGAAAGAACAAGTATAGGCCTGGAACATCAATCTGGATAGCAGCAACAGGACAACCATTGTGAAGATGCCATAGACAGGATGTGAGAGGCCTGCTGGAGGTGCAGTCTTGATGTAAAGACTTGGTTTCCTTTCATTTAACTTCTACTTTTTGCCGGGTATTGAAGCTTTTTTAGAAAAAGGAAATGACAACTTTAAAGAAAGTCCAGTTTTCCATTTTGTGGAGGCATCTGGCATCTGCATGGCAACAGCATGAGTAGATATGCCCCCTTTCTAGAAGTTTCAGACTTTGGCCCCCAATATCTCTTGCTGTTGGCCAGCCTGGCTGGGATTTATGAGAGTTGAAATTCATCAATATCTGGGGGGCAGAGGGTGCTCATTCCTGAGAAGGAACAGCTTGTGATCTCCTTCCTCCTGGATTAAGAAAACTAGCTAGCTCTGATTCAATTCACTCATTTATGCTGTTCTTTGACTCACTTTCTTTATTACTGTACTGCTTTGTGTTTACACTTGTTCTATTTTTATTGGGATTTCTTTTTCATACGGTGTTTAAAAATGTGGTAAGATATCTTTAAAAAACTAAATGATAATATGTTGCATCAAGGAAAAGGTCAAAGTAGGGTCATTCACGGGGGAATCAAACAATGCATCTGAAAAAAGGTCTGGGCTTCAGTCACATGATCGCAGCAGCCAGTACCTTGACTTTTTTGACCTCACCTCCCCCCACAGATGCCTCTGGGTCAAGGGAAAGTCAAATGGAGATGCTGTTGGAAATTAATGTGTTTGTCCCTTGGGCTTGGTTTTCTTTTTTTACTGCTGTGTTCTTGGCTGAAAAACCTAAAGAAATCACTAGATGGCAGCTAAGAGCCAGAGATTTCTGCATCTGCTTGCTGCCATCTAGATGCTGGATTTTTTCTGCAGCCCAGATGTTTGACCTTCTGTTTTATTCAGAGATCCCATTTATATTATAAAGACGCTTGCCTTATCGTTTAAATAAAACTTGCCCAGATATTATAGCAATATAAAACATATTATGGAAATAGGCATGCATAGATTTATTTTCTAAAACTGATAGAAATCTAGGCCAGGAGATGTATGTGGTGAACGGTATACTGTTGACATTATTTAGGGGGGAAAAAAGCAATTAAAGATGTAAACACTTTTTCAGCTTTATCCTTTTCTTAGGGAAGCCTAAGAGGAATGATGCTGGCAAACAAAAGATAGAAGGCGGCTTAACAGGCATCCTGCATTAGAAAAAAGACTTCTGATCATTTCCCAAACAATGAATAAATGTCCATTTCAGTAAAGAATTTCCTTTTTATGTATATGGGAAGAGTGTAACCTCCAATGATATATTTAGTTCCCTTTCAATGGAGTTCTTAGTCTGGTGGTTTTGCATCTCCATTTCACTTTTCCTTGATCTGCAGGGGGAGGGATGGTGTCTGCCGCAAAGCGCGGAACCCCTTTCCCCCGGGTTCTGCCCAATAAGACCCTGAAGACGAGAATTGGCTGTTCCTCCTTTTATTGAAGAACTTCAAGAAAAAGGACTCCGTCTCACTAAAGAGAGAGGAGCCCCAAGCAAACTTTTATATCTATTTTTATATTTGC